AAATGCATCATTTTATTTTTGTTGGATAATTACCATCATTGTATCAATTTTGAGCTTATTTAGACTGCCTTGTGCATAATTGTTATTTTTATAATTACCAAATAATGCACATATAAATGCAAAATGCTGAAACAAGTGTAGATGTATTAACATGAGAAAGAAATGCTATATACACGCACAATCAAATACAGTGACACAATATAGCCCTAAAAAGCATATAGTAGTAAAAACATCTAATTTCTGATAAATTCAAAATAAGAATGCAACCGTGCACGTGCAAAACAATGCAGTGGCCAGGTGAGTAGTAGTAGTCTAAATGGGGAAGACGCTTTAATATGCAAACTGTCAAACAGCACAGTACATTGTCAGCACAATAAATAAGCTACCACTTCTAAAAACATCAAAACACATACAGATTGTACTAATTGACCATTGCGACCGAAGCCTAGCCCCCACCAAGCAAACCCCTGACACAGCAGAGCCGGATCTGTCAGATGCAAACCGTACCAAAACACTGGCACGCCAGCACAAACAATTACACGTGCTCAAAAAACAATCCCAGACGGCAGACACTGACCTCTATTTTACTGTATGTAAAAATTGGGTAATCAATGTACATATGCACATAATTTTCAAGAAAAAAAAAAACACTGATTGTTATACTGATATAAAATGATGTACACTAATGAAAGCCTCATCGCAGACCTAATATCATCCATCATTAAAAATCCACATAGATCAAGCACTAATGTTGGTCCCTGAAGTAAAAAAGACACCAGAGCATCATCTGACAGCCCTGACCCCCAGAGACCCCATTATTAGCATATGATAAAACACTTTGAGTGGGAGAGCAGCATCTTCACTCCGCCGTCTCACACAAACACCAGAGAGAGCATTACTCTTGCCACCTGCCCCAGAGTGCTGAGGTTAGCCAGTATTTTCACACCATCGCTTTTAGACAGACATGTTTACTGCATACATATTTACCCCTGCACATCTGCACACATTATCAGAGCTGCGCAGAAAATGTGAAACATTCTCATTCAGACACATTATAGAAATGATTTAAAATCACAGATATGTGAAACAAGCACAATTTAGTTTAAAACACTGATTTATTTTTATGCATTAAAAATCACAACTGAGAAACAAATACAGAAATACACAGAAAAATTTAAAGGGGGAAGTAATTTAATTTTAATGGATCTCATCTATATTTCCACATTAGTAGTTGCTAAAAAAAAAAAAAAAATAGAAGACTGTATTTCATGAGAAGTGCATAATGTTTGCTTGCATGATGCGGATGTACAGATGAAATGCAGCTGTCAAGAGCTCCAGTTGCCTCTGTTGAGAAAACAAAACAAGGCCTCGTGCGCCCCTGCACCGGTCAAACGGATCATTGCGTACACCTAAACAGACCGGTAGGGCCAGATAGGCTTCCTCTGTCAATTCAGAGATGCATTCGCTAATAATGCCTTTCACAATGCACGTAAATGCAAAACACATCCGATTAAAAAAATATATACTAATGCTTCAATTGACATTACAACTATTCTCACTGAACCTTATGTCTCTTTAGAAAATAAAACATTGAGATTTTGGAACGTTCAAATATGAGAGAATACTGCACAGATTGTTTTGCTGGGTGTTAATCGGTGATTGTTGTGTATGTAAGGGCGCAGATTGGCGCCCCCTCAGATCAGTGCGCGGTACTGCACCTCCACGGAGCCCCAAGATAATCAACAAAATGGTCGCTTTGCCCGTGGTCACGTGACTCCTTTGTACTCCGTAAACCGTCTACAGACATAAATACTGCATAGTAATTACCTCCGAGGTTATATTTGTAGAGAAAAACCTCTAACGTTTGGGCCCAATATACTAAACCTCGGCCGTCTCGGACGGTAGCGACATATTTGACGCTTTTCTGCAGGAAAAATGGCGGCCATTTTGTGTACACTGGCGCAGAGAAGCAAGGGACGCGCCTCTGACAATAAAACTGAAATTGTTTTCAAAATACATGACTCTAAGCAATAAAACGTACCGATTCCTCGTCTTTCTCCATCCCCGTGGGCATCTGTGGCACTGCCCGGTTAATAGACGCATATTCGTGCAGGTCGGGCAGGTCCTCGCAGCGGAAGACGGGTAGAGGCTTGGAAGCGTCCAGCGCCCGCGCCCGAAACGACAGTTTACTCATTTTTCTTTATAATTCGAGATGCAGCATAAATCTATCCGATCCCCTAATGTTCCCTACTGGTCCGATTAAAGTTCTCATGGATGATGCCGGTTCGGTGTCCAGCAGTGCACGGGTCGCTCGGTGGAGGTGGCGGGGCGAGCGGAGGCGCGAGGCCGGGTGTCGGTCGCTCTCTCTCGGTGTGTGTTTCCAGCGCGCTCCGGTCCCTGATTCCAGGCTCAGTGCGCCATGGCCAACATGGCGGACATTAAAAACACTCTTTAACGGTCCGCTCGTGTTTAGCGGCCCAACCCCCCGATCCCAGATCAGCCATTCCCACATGGGCTTACAACGCATGCGCTTGTGGAGCTCGAAGACACGGGGGAGGGAGTGAAAACCACTCCCCATACCTTCTGCAGAGCGCGCCTCTTCAAAAAACATGTCTTTTTCGCCGGTGTGCTTAAGATATACAATTTAACCGATATGGGAAAAATGACGACAGACTAATAAAGTCTATACAAAGACGCTCGTTCTTAACCGATTAGTATTTGGCTGTCGGTGAAGTGCTTTTCTACTAAATCCATCTTGTAGTCAATGACAGCACAAGGCAAAAACAGTTGACCTAATGACAGAAGGGCTGCATTTCATTGCCTTCAATTACTGCTGCCTGTTCCATGATTGAAAAATAAGTATTTGAAAAATAAATTTTCACTTTAAAAAAAACAAACAAATAAAAACAATTCATTATAGACTTCCCTTACTTACAGAAGTTGGTTTCATTTCACATTGGTCACAAAACCTTTCTAAATTAGCTGTAAAATAATAATAATAATAATAATAATAAACGCAATGTAACCAATGCTTTTCCTGTCAAAAGAATAATAAAAAAAAGATAAATTATATAGAGTTTCAAATCAATGTAACATTTGAATATTAACCCTGCAACTTCGAAATTAAATATTATAACTACTTATCAAGTTCATCAAAATGCTTGAAGGACTGCTTTAAAAAATGTATATTCATCACCCAGTAAAAAAAAAAAAAAAAAAACCTGTAAAAGTTGGGGTGCTTTCACACTAGCACATTTGTTGCGTACCCGGGTTCGATTGACGTCAGAGTTCGGTTCGTTTGGATGATGTGAACGCGGTCTTCCGAACTTGGGTGCGCACCCGCGAACCGTACCAGAGTCCTCTTAAAAGGGGTGGTCTGGAGCACGGTTCAAGTGATCTCCGGTACGGTTTGCTGCTGATGTGAACGCAATCGTACCAAATCACAGAAGTGAACCGCTATTAATGACATATTATTTGATAAAAATGTGTTTGTGCGTTTCACTCACTTTCCTGACGAGCTGCATCATTTCTGTTCACCTTCAGAATTCTTTAGAGCATTTGTAGTACATTCGTAAGACAGACGTGAGTGCCGTTATGTACTGAAGCTAATTTGGAAACAAAACCAACGGTTCAAAAACATAAATATAAAATTGAAGAGAGCAATGCTACGCATTTTGTCGCCTTCTCTGGCGCAGTCGTTACTAAGCAACGGGGTAAACAGCTGCTGGCTTGATGATGTAAACGAACAGCGGTTTGGACCCAAATAATATAATGTGAACACAGTCCAGTCGGGGGATGCAATCAAACTCTGGTTCGGACCAAACAATCGAACCAAGTGTGAAAGCACCCTTAGTAGTAGTATTATTTTATTTAATGCCATCTCAGCATCTGAGGCTATTTTAATACAAAGTAAAATCATATTTGATATCCAAGCTATAAAGTTATTTGATCATCCTTCTGAAGTGAGATTACTTTTCTATGTGAACGTCTTGTTTGTGTTACTGACCTAATTCATTACGAGTCACTTCAGAGTAACCTTAACTTAACTAGCAACATTCCTTTAATAAAGTCCTACTTATACAATGATTTGACAGCTGCATAAATGTTAAATTACTTCTATCAGTAGGTTAGGCATATGTATGTTTATATTTGTAACACTATGGCCCTGTGAGGAACAACATTTTGTTCCTTTGTATGTCTTCACACATGCAGTTTTCACAGGAACATCAGGGAAGCATTGCAGCTTGAATCAAGCTTGGTCAAAGATGACAAAGCCCAAAATTTTCCCTTTAAAAGGAGATTTATCCCCAGCTTTATCTTATTGATGTTGCAGCAATCTCAAACACTATTCCAACTAGACGCAAAGAGACAAGTGCCTCATGGCAGTAATGAGATGCCCATAAGATCACATTTCACTGCAAAAACATTCACCATTCCCTTTCTGTCTGTTAAAGCAGTCATATATACTTTCTCCTGCATACATCTTCATACATACATGCACTTACATCATAACCACCTTACATCATAAGACCACAATACATAAAGCACAAAAAAAACATCCAGATATAAGTGTGCAACTATAAAAAAAAAAAACATGCATTAACAACATATGATGTAATCGCATGTGTTTATGGGTGCATTTTCTGATATGCAGTGTCTAAGATAAAGCACCCAAGATATGATCTAGTGCAAGTGTGGGTTTACCTCCACTCCCAGAAGACCCACACCTCTGTACCTGTCTGACCCTCCAGAGGGGTAACAATCAGTCCGTCATCGTCCATCCCTGTCACACATATTGACATAAACATGAGCATTGACCATGACCATACTCTTGACCTCAAGGGTGAAGGTGCTGCCATATCTCTAGGACAACAGCCAAATTATGACATAAGTGCAAATGCACACAGCTTTCTTGTACCAACAAAGAGGAAACGTTACATCATTGCTGCCTGTTGTTTCCTACGTTGAATTAATAAAAGACAAATCTGCAATAGCGCCACCATGTTAAAACACTGAACAATAACGCATTTTCGCTCGCAAATCCGTTTGACCGTTCACAATTATGTAACTCCAATCCGGATTCTAAGTACGTTAAAGGAACAACGGGCGCTCACGCAATATGAAGCTCGCGGAGCGGAAGAGCATATAAAAGCTGCTCCTATTTTGGCTAACCGCGGAAAAAAACATATCTGACAGGAAAAAAAACGAGTCGTGGCAAGCTTTTAAAGAGGATGACACGTAGACTCGCAGTTAATGTGCGGAGATGATGCGGCCATCCGCAGTCAAAGCCTTCTGCAGATATTTAACCTGCGCGAAAAGTGCACCTTCGGCTTTGTTTCAACCCCCAAACAGCTCGCGAGCGATCATACAATTCCGACATTTTATCAAAGTGTGCCGTTATCAAGGCGGAGCTTATTTGGGAAGATATTTTGAGTTTATTTTCCGGGCTGATGTGGCATAATGATGTTGGGAATATGCTGACGCTCGCCTGCCAAGTTTACAGTTGGACTCGCTCATTCAGCAAACCTTTATGTTATCAAAACATTAATCGATCAATCCACTTTATAAACGGGAGGCAGACAGATAGTCGGCACTTACCAGCTCTAGCTCCAGAGATCTCCACGGGTCTGTCCTGAATTTGCCACATTTCAGTGGTTTAGACGGCGTAACGGTGTAACGCATCAAGGTGGTGTTTGGCAAACAAACGGTACAGTCGTCAGACAGTCTCTCTCGCGCTCGCTCTCTCTCTCTCTCTCTCTCTCGTCTTTTGCCTTCCGTTCGACACAGCGATTAGAGAATCTCCTCGGTTAAATGAAGACAACGCAACCCCGTTAAAAGATCCGGCAGGGAAATGAAGGAGTTATTTGAGTCATATTAAGGCTGTAAGCAGACCCCGGGGACAGACCGAGACTGCCACAGGGTTAATAACTTTGCAATGGCAGCGAGACGCCGCCTGATTGGTCAGTGAGTGGCACCAATCACCTGTGGGAGGCTTCAGGCATATGATCCAAGTAGCAGCATGAAGAGATGCTGTGGCAGAACTAATTGCTGCAAAAATACACTTAACCCCTTCTATTGTCTTGTTCTATTGTTCTTTTTTTAACCGTTGTCGGTATTGAATACAACTAAATACTACTGTGGTAGCAGGGAAAACAAGCACAATAGAAACCGAAAAACAAAAGCCTTTAGTGTGATTGTTTAAAAATTATAGTTACACAAAAGCTGTCGCTGAGGCGGTACCTTTTCAAAAGGTACAAATATGTACTATTTGGGTACTAATATGTAGATTTTGGGTGCTAATATGTACCTTTACTGTACTTATATGCACCCTTTAGGAGTAAATTAGTTTTAAAAACTCTTGTACATTTTTTCGTGTGTAGTTATCATCCAAAATTGAATTTCAGCAGATATATACATTCAGTTTCACATTCATAAAACATTGATGACTCATCTTACACCAGACATATTTTTGTCCAATCAAATGCTCTCTAGAATGAGCACGCCCCTCCCCCAAATACAAACAGCCACTGACTAGCATGGCGAAAAAAATGTCACCCACACAATGAGACTATCAATACTGTATTTAATAAACCCCACACTGTTTTATTGGCTTTATAGAACGTTTTCAAAAATAATAATCATTGGTGAATCTTGTTGTGACTTCTTGTGCTCTGGAAAACCATAATCTCACGGGAAATGAGGAGTTCGATACTTACATATAAACATTACAAAATACAGAAATATAATCAAGCAATAAGAAACTAGCTTACAAATCAGTTCTCAACTGGGAGGTTGGGACCCAACATTTAAAAGGGAGGATAAAACTGTTGTTGACAAGTGGGTATGAGTGGGTATTTTGGTCCAAAGTCAAAAACGGTTCCAGATTACTTTAAATACAGTTTATGATACTATACTAGGTCACCGATGTAAAATCTGGGCGATGAAGCAAAGACCATCTGAGAACCACTGCTGCAAGCCATCCTGAAGATCCATCAATTTCCCTCATATTTGGGGTTCACCACAGTTGTCACAGCACTCTTGTAGATGGGGTTGTCACCCTAAACAGAACAGTAGGTATTATTATCCCAGTATTTTTCTCATAGCATGTTCAGTATGAACCCCTTAAAATGTATTTATTTGCAATATTAAAAAATAAATATTAATAAAGAGGTGCATACTGTGTCCCATCTGGCATTCATCTTCTCTTTCTCGAACTTGGCGAACTCTCTGCGGTCATGAATAATCATGAGCAGCTTCCAGATGAGCAGAAGTGCTAAACCAATCAGAACGATTCCTGCGACCACACCCGCTACGATGGGGATGATGTCAGGGCCAGAGGGACACTCTGTGAACACAGGCACAAAGCATTATGGGAAACAAGGTAAAACTTGTAAACTAGTTATCAATAGCTATGAAATAAGAGAGTCTGCAAGAAACAGAAGTTGCAGTCGTCTTTTTCCACTGTTGTGATGTATATCCGAGTCTCAAACAAGAAAAAATGTAGGGTGGGACTTGATTTTATCTATTGGGAATTGATTGGATAATTTTCGTTTGTTAATTGTTGCAATTTCACGGAAGTGACAGGTGCATTCAAAAAGAAAAAGCAATCAGGTTTACTTTAGAAGTTAAGAGTCCAGTACTCATATTTGTATTTAATATTTGTAAAAAGAATTGTAATTGGCAGGGACGCGGGAAGTAGGAGACATGAACTGTACAGAATGCGAACAAGATTAACTTTAATACAAGGAGATAATGGCGCAAAAGGCCCCCCCCTTCACCCAACACAGACACACACAGCACCCCCAACCGAAAACATCTTCCCGCACCTCTGGTACTTGGTAACATTTGTCCATCATTTTTACCCTTTTTTTCAGCCACAAGGACATCAATGTTGTCATCGTTCTTGGTAGCGTAGGTGAAGAAGAACCAGCAGTCATCAACGTCGCGCTCTTTGCAGAGATTGATGTAGGGCTGGTCATTGGGCTGAGGAAGTTCCTCCTTAGTCTTCACTGCTGTTAGACTGAAGGATCTGCAGTCAATCTCACATGTATGTTTCTTGCTACCTGTGCCAAATTGTTGGCACTCAACACAGTCCCTTTAAGCAAAACACAGAGGAATGTATTTAGTGCGAAACACTGTTTTAGAGCACGACAAGTTATTCAGATACAAAACTGACTACAAGCCAGTAGTTCAACCTACTGGGTTATCTATGTTAGCCTAACCTCATTAGCAAATGCTCCGCCAATAACTCACTTGTGTTTTGTGCAAATTCTTGGGCAGGTTGGGCAGATTTCACAGGTTGGACCCTCAAATCTTTGGTCGGTACATTTACACACGCCGCATTCGCAGGTGCCCCGACCGTTACAGATCAGTTTGTTACTGGCCAGACAGGTGGAGGTGTCCAAAGGGCATTCGCAAGCACTTCCTTTGTAATTGGCGTCACAGATACACTTTTTGCACTCGCATCGACCATGACCTGTGGGGAAAAGAATGCCTTAATAATAAATATGTCCTAATTCACTGCAAAAAATGAATTTCTTGCTCAGTATTTTTGCCTTGTTTTCCAGTACAAATATCTAAAGAGCAGAATTCATTCACAACAATAAAATATGTGAGAAAAATACAGCAAAAGACAGAAGTGCAAATTCTCGATGTGTTGTAGCCTACCTCCGCAGAGCTTGTTGTTGGAGCGGTCACAGCTGAAGTTGTCACACTCGCAGAACTTTCCGCTGTATATCTCCTCTGGGTTGTCTCTTTTCTTACACTCACACGTTCCACAGACACATTCTCCATTGTTGCTGCAGACGTCCGTCCTGTTATCCACGCGGCAATTCGCGTCCAGATCATCTGTCAGGAACTCATCTTGGCTGCACTCACATAATCTGCCTAGCCGGCCTTCATTACACCTGATATGAGAGATAACATTGAATCAGAATGATCGTCAAATGATCTGCATTTGCATATGAGATTAACCACCTCTCACACCTGCATACTCCACACTCCAGAGTGCCATGGCCGCCGCTACACTCCGGACTGTTCGGGATTCCGTCTTTATGACACTCACATTCACAGATGAAGTTGAGGACGATCTCCACCTCCTCAGTGAAGCCCTGCGGCTTGATCTTTACAGTCTCTGATTTATTTTTAGACGGACAGCCTGTAGCCGTGATTTCTATATCAAACGTCACCTATGAGGCACAACACGTTGTTTTGAATGCTAAGGCCTCGTGCACATTACAAATAAGGCGCTCTTTGTACACATTTAGAGATTCACTAAACAGTCGTGTACTGTAAAAACAGTTGGAATTTTTACAGAAAAAGCTTTTAAACACTACAGTAAAAATGTATTGTTTGATTGCAGCCTATCTTACCATATACAGTGAAAAACAGAAAATGGTTTAACATCACACTATATGTAATTTTACCATAAAATACTTTTAAATGTATGGTTTTTGCAAGTAAAGACTATGAACTACCATATAATTTATGGTGAAAAACAGGACTAAAAAAAAGGGACATTTCCAGAAGTCCCTGTGTGGCACATCAACACATATGATTATATTTTATATGATTTAGTTTATTGTCACTTTTGTTATCAGTAATGTATATTAGGATGTTTTGTGTTACAGTTCATGTTTATTTGTTTATTTCATTATTTTATTGTCATGTGCACTGCAAACCCTAATAAGTTATCAGAACTCTGTTACATTACAAACAATTTTATGTTGTAAAATGTACAGGCACAAATATGCCATCTCATAATATTTAAAACATTGTCACATTAATTTTATGGTGAATTTCTGGCAATCACAGCTGCCAATTTTTACCATAAATTTAACCTATTTTTCTAGCATGTGCCACTTTAGGATGCAGTATTTCATCTAAAAACCTGCGTCTTATACACCATCAGTTTATCAGCACTGAAATAGTGCAACATGGAGATTGCTTAGCACTGATTTACACACAATTGAAAATAAAAATAACTAGTTGGAACTAGTTATTAGAACTATTTTTTTCCCCCCAACAACTTGCTCTCCTCTCCCAGTCTTTCCTTTTGCAATTTCATTGGGTGTTGCTCAGTGCTGCTACAGTCTGAACTGGTATGTGTCTTAAATGTATGCAAACTAGAATATCATTGGTGAATGGCAATGAGCTGGAATTTTGCTACCATATGATAACTTGTGCACTAAGCTTAAGCTACAGCTAGCAAAATGGAGTCACTCTACAGACAAGTTCAGATGGCATTTATTGCATTCACTCTCTCACCTCATCCCCAATAGAGATGTTGGAGCACTTTCGACCATTTTCTCCTTTTTCACTCAATCCATTCTTGCAGTGGGAGATGTAGGAGATGGACACACCAGCAGGTAGCTTGCTGTCCTCAAGAATGACCTCTGAGGACAAAGACTGACGGACACAATTAAACAAAGAGTGTTAATTAAAGGGATAGTTCACTCAAATTCTGTCATAATTTATTCGCTCTCATGGTGTTTTAAACCTGTATGGCTTTCTTTATTGTGTGGGATACAAAAGAAGATATTTGGAAATTCAGTACTTCAAAATATCTTTTTTGTTTCACAGAAGGAGGAAGATTTGGAATGACATGAGGGTGAGTAAATGATGACAGAATTTTCATTTTTAGGTGCACTGTGCCTTTAAACTTCTAATTTTACTGGTGGCAGAACTGTTGATCTGACTGAGCAATACGCCTCTTACCCTTTTTCTGATCATTCAAATGGACTGAGTACATATTTAAGATTATAAACAACCCTTATGCGTGGGAACGGGCTGTCAAGTAAAATCTTTTGCAAGCAAGAAAAGAGAAACAGTGGTTTTGGTTTCACTTCCTTTTAACTCTAAAAGGAACTAGAGTTGACCACAGCCAACCATTACTGACAGAGATATTTGATGTATAACTTGAACTCACATTATATGCATCAATGATGAGCTGGATGACATTGGAAGAGTTGGTAGACAGTGTCCCCACTGCTGATTTAGGGATTAGAGCAGACAGTTCCTATTGCACACACACACACACACACACACACACACACATATATAGATGCATATGAGTCAATACAGACTACAATCTGAGTTAAACCAGATGCTTATATTATGAGATGATGAACATGATGTTGTTGCAATGTGGAGAAGATATAATATACGCATTGCACACACCTGATAAAGATCCCGGAATTGCTCTGTCACAGCAAAGATGGTCTGAATGTTGTTGTCACTCAGTGTGTCTACCAGCTGAGAGATGGTGGGGTAGTCCTGTAAAAAAAACAACTGAAATGAAAGACACACTCTGACATTTCTATCTATCTATCTATCTATAAAACTCATACTTACAAAGTAGTTGCTCATGGTGTACATATTATTCTCAAGATGGCATTTCCCGTCATTTGGACGAACGATGCCACCTAGTTTTCCATCTCCAGCTAAATGGAATCCAGCATCCGTGGAGAACACAAGGAGGCGAGTGACATTCCTCCAGCCGATCACTTCCTGAGATACAATGAAAACACAGCTAACAGAACACAGCTTCATGCTGCTCCCTAGGACTCAATGAGAATATTGATTGTGTTTCTGATTTTACAAAGGCTCAGTCACACGTTGACTACATGGTTAGTGTTTGATAATTAAATCAGAACCCTCAGGCTACAGTTAGAATTAATTTATGAAGATGGTGTTGAAGTAATTTCCTGTTTACATTAACTGAAACTTTGTGTACAGCTTCTGAAATTCAAAATTTGAAGCTTTTACTATTAGAAAAACTATTTTATTGGAATAAAAGGAAAGTCGATGTGGACACAGCCATTTGCAGGGCAAGTACAACACGACTTTGACTTTGCCCATAGCTCTGTGGCATTTATGGAATGTTCAGATCGACTCACCGTGCAGACCACAACTTGCATGATTGCATCAAATCCTGCCTCGGGAGAGTCCAGGTTTCCAGACGTTTTCTGCTTACTGACTTCTTGGGAGAACAATGCACCATCATCTGTCAAGTTCAGGACGTTTTTGTAGCTGAAGGGCGCTGAGCAGTCATTTGGAAAACATGGGTTCTTCAGATACTTCGGTGTCATCAGAATGAAAGGCATAACCAGTTTCTCCAAGAATGAACCAAAACCTGCAAGCGAGAGTTAGCAGATCATTTAACAGCTTTAAGAGTGTAGGCTGGTGTGAATGTGAGCATGCATGTCCTCCTAACCTATCCGCAGGTCTTTCGTGATGTGCTTCATCGCCCTGGCAAGTTCAGTTCCCAGGTTCTTGACATTCTCAAGATTACTCCGCATGGAGTCGCTGAGATCCATCAGGAAGTACAGATCGATGGGATAATCTTCTGCCCTCTTGAACGTGAAAGGAAACTTCTGAGATTCACCTGCAGTGTGAAAAGACGAGAGACAAAAAGAAATATGCTACGACCAGTTTTCTAAACTTATATTTTAGGTGATAAGACTCCCATTACTATGCTTACTAATAAAGTAATAGTTAACTTAATAGTAAATCAATAAAAAATCTGTCATCATTGACTCACCCACATGCCCTTGCAGACCTTTGACTTTTTTTTTGACTTGTGCAATACATTACAAATCTTCTTAAGTCATATAATAGCTTTGTTTGACAAACAGAAATTTGAATCATTAAGTCACAGATAATCTTCCTGTCCAGTGACAGTCGCTGCCGCATCGAGTCAGTCGGTGGGTGAACTTGAGGACCGAATCAATCCCATTCGTGCACTGTAAAAAAAATGCTGAGGTTGCCGGAATTTTACCGTAAAAAATACAGTAGCAACGTTTTAGGTTTTAACTTAAATTTACAGTTAAATACCGTAATTTCATTAACTGATATAATGTTAATATACCAACCTATTGAAGTACTGAAATCTGTTTTGTACCTTTGTAATACACTGATAACCACCAAATGCAGGTGGTGCTGAGAAAGTCACATGAGGAACCAAAGCCCAGTGTCATTCACACAGACACTAAACACCATCATGGTAACACACATGACACTGAAATAATGCAATGAACATTAATTTAACAACATTAGGTGTAACACGCAACCCTAATATACAAAACTGATAAGAAAAAACAGTTATTTCAACAAAAAAACATTACATTTGAAATGTAACGCAGGGAATTCTGGGAGTGTCAATTTACGGTTATTCACTGTAAATTATAGTCTTTTTCCACTTTCAAAAACGGTATACTACCATAAAATTAATGTCCAATACATGTAATGTCCAATACAGTTTTTCACCGTATATAGTAGGGGAATTTACTGTTAACCATTTAACAGGTTTTTACTGTAGCATTTTTACAGTCTTTTACCATTAAATTCACGGTCATTTTTTACAGTGTGAACTACTAGACATTCAGACTGGCTCAGTGAAAAGATTCAACTCAAACGAATGATTTGTTCATTAGTGAGAAGTTGTTTTTTTTGCGAATATAGTGCATGCCATTTTCTTTCACAAGTCTTACGTGTGGATTTAGAAGATTTGTAATATGACGCAATGAGTCATACGGTACACATTTATAGTACGTTTATGGTAATTATGTTCTTCAGAAACACTCCTGTGGTCCACTAAAGAAATCATACAGGTTTGGAACAACATAAGGCTGAGTAAATGATGAAATGTCGTTTTGAATGAACTTGTCCGGATTCATATCTCACAACACATTTTGAGACACATCCAGTGATGTTTTTGTGGTTCACAGACGGGGTCCAGTACCTGATCGGAGGTGCAGGGTGAGTTTCTGTGGCTGAATCTGGGTGATCTCATCAGGCCTCAGATTCTGTTCCCCATCAATTTTACGGTTTGTGACGGGTTTGTTCTTGTCGATGGTGACTATTCCTCGAGGGTTTTCTATGCCAAGTGCAGTGCAACCAGCCTTTTCCAGAGACTCCTTGTCATCACAGCGTGAAGGTTTGAAATCCTGTTAAGATGCAAGCAGACACTTGCTAAGCACACATGTACCAGTAAGACTCGGATCATCTTCCAGAGTCAGGATAAGATGATCAAATGTTGAAGACAAAATAACTTACAGGAATTTTGCACCACGCACACTGTGGCCCAATCTGAATACACTCTCCACATGTTTTGGCATTTGCAGAAATGCATATATTGCTGTCTGAACGCAAAACACATATACACTGCAAATTTAGAAGGCAAGAGCTAACATTGTACAATGTTACACCAGATTCAAATAATCATTTCCCAGTGATTAAAGCATTATGAAAATAAAAGCCAACAAGTAGATCTTTTGCAGAATAACAAGAGGGTATTTTTAACGTTTTTTCTTTGTATTTATGACGAAGCAGTTCACTTATTCATACAAAAAACTCATAAACCTAAACATTGAAAGAATGCCCCCTAAGGCACTAGAAAGTAGTCATGTTGTTGGCGATAAATGACTTGTATTACCTGTTTTTGCTCTGACATGAGAGACAAATCCTAGTAGAGCTGATATTAACACCACCTTCATATTCATCTAAATGCAGAAGAACATACATTTTACAGAAACACATCAGGGAGGGAGAGAGAGCAATCACTTACAAATACACAAAATCCTTGTCCGATACTCACATAAACTGTATACTGTTCACTATATTTTTTAAAATGTGTGTTAATAATCGACTCTTTTGTATAAGAAATATAATACTCTTTGCATCAAAAGTAGATTGCCATTAAAAAAGGAAGGGCACACAGGATATACAGCATATACTGTATATATATATATATATATACACAGTGGGTACGTATATATATATATATATATATATATATATATATATATATATATACTTAGTATATATACTACACAATATTAACTTACATAATCTATGACTAGTGAAATGTCATGAGATTTCATGGTCATTTTAAGTGAAAATATAAAAGTGAAAAAAGCTTAGTTACTCACCTTAACACATGCTCCTAAGGTTCCTCCTAGAATTGTATGTTTCTGAAGTAAATGTTTATATGCTCAACTTTCCCTGATGTCTTGTGTTACACTCCAGGTCACAGTACACCTTAAAAGTCCTGTAGGCATATGAAGAATATTTCTGAAACAGCACACAAAACAAAATAACAGTGGTTGTACTGAGTGTGTGTGAGATGTGCGAGCAGGTCTTGA